CCCACAGGGCTGCTGAGTGTCGTCGAGCTCTCTGTCCAGTCCATCATCTATGAGGTGTCTGTTGTGGCTTTCATGGTAAGGGCTGGGTTATCACTGCACACCAGGGCTCTGTGGGGGCTGTCCTGAGACAGGCACACAGCAAAAATCTGCTCCAGAAAACCCCCACCTTCCCCTCTGCACTCGAATCTCTCCCTGCTCCTGCCTGTCCCTCATGCAGAGATGCTTTAAATCAAATCCTGAACTCCATCCTGCTCTCTGCTGGGTGGGTATCCCCCTGTCACTGTGACAGCCCCATTGTCAGACACATGTGAGCTCTGTGCTTGCAGTTCCCCCTGGGGCTGGGCACAGCTGCCAGTGTGCAGGTGGGCAACGCACTGGGCGCCGGCAACGTCGAGATGGCCAAGAGATCCTCCTACACCAGCCTGATCTGCACAGGTCAGCCCACAACAGCCTGGCAAGCCTCCTCCTGGCCTCCTTCCCATGGAGCAGGGAGTGTTTGCAGTCCTCTGCCTGCCTCTTTCCCCCCTGCTCTCCAGCCAGGCTGGGCTCAGCTCTGTGCTCTGTTTTCAGGGGTGTCCACTGTAGTTGTGGTGTCCATTTTAGCTGCCTCAAGGAATGTGCTGGGATACATCTTCACCAACGACAAGTGAGTGTCCCCAGCTCCTGGCCTTGGTGTGTGGAGGTCAGTTCCCAAAAGTGATCCTTGGCTTTCCTCCATCCCCAGGGAAATCGTTGGCTTGGTGGCGTGGGTCATGCCTGTCTACATTGTCTTCCACTTGTTTGAAGCCATGACTGTAAGTCCCAGGGAATGCTGCTGTTTTCCATGGGGAACCTTGGTGCTCAGCAGCAGTGTCACGGGTCAGGCAGTTGAGGATCCCTCAGGCTGCAGCTGAGCACCAGTGCCCACACCAGGACCCTGCAGACCTCCTGGGATCATCCCTTAGAAAACATCGAGCGCATAAAAGGATGGTGACCCATAAAACTAGGCAGGGACACAGAAATAATGGGCAGAGGGAGGGAGCTGGGTCATCTCCTGACCTGGGCCCAGGTGGTGCTCCCTGCCCCAGCCCCTCTCCCTCTCCTGGCAGGGTGCCTGCAGTGGGCTGCTCAGAGGCATCGGGAAGCAGAAATTCGGTGCCATCATGAACGCCGTGACTTACTACGGTGTGGGCATGCCCCTGGCAGCTGTGCTGCTCTTCGTGGTCAAGATTGGCGTCATGGGTACTGAGCCCTGGGCACTGCACCCCCAAACCCCCCACGGGCAGCTGCAGCTCCACTGGGGCTCACCACAACCCCTGTGCCTGGCTCCGTCCCTCTGCTGACCTGCCTGCGCACACTGGGGTGCACTGGGATGGCTCCTGCAGCTGCTGGGAGCTTTTAGTGCGAAAAAGCAACCCCAAAGCAATCACCCTGTGTCCCCACTGACCTGGGTGACATTCCCTTTCTGGACCTGCTGTCCTGGGATGCTGGGTTGGCTCTGGCTGATTCTGTGTGCCCTCTGCAGGCCTGTGGATCTCGATGCTCGTCTGTGTCTTCATCCTCTGCACCTGCTTCCTCACCTACATCTCCCGTGTGGACTGGGAGAAGGCAGCCAAGATGGTAATCCAGGCACTGACAGCACACCCCTGCTCTGGGAAGGTCCTCAGTGCCCTGCTGGGATGAGGCAGGCTCAATCTCATGTCCAGTGCTCCAGAGCAAAACCCAACACTCCCATGGCATTCCTGAATTCAGCTTCCCCCTGCACAAGCTCTCAGTGGCCTCAATGTTTCCCCCTGCACCTCGTTTGAGGACACAAAGCTCAGAGCAGATGGGGCTACCTCAGCCCTGAGCATCACCTGGTGCCTCAGCAGCCCCAGGGAGGCCCCAGGAGAGGCAGCACAGCTTTGCCAGGCGGGAATTCCCAACTAAACCCGGCCCGTTCCCTCGGCAGGCTCAGCGCCGCGCGGGAGTGACCCCACAGGAGCTGCCGAGCCTGGGCCCCGAAGGCTCCTGCAAGGACCTGGATGTGGGACTAGCCCCCCCGCCCCACACGTACCTCCCTGCCAGGGTGGTGCTGGGCTCTGTCGGTACGGTGGGGAAGGGTTTGGTGCAGGAAGGGTCTCAAAGGGTTCAGGAACAAGCCCACAAAATGGGGAAATGTCATGCTGGTGACTCCCTCAGCTGCTGGGAGAGCAGTAATTACAAGCGTGGGCTCGGGAGGGTGACAGAGGCTGGCAGAGGGACAACCTGTGGGCAGTCCTCACCTGGTCCCACCTCTGGGGGCAGGACCTGGTTGAGATCTCCACTGCTCCTAAGGTGCCTTCAGCCCTGTGACAAAACCCCCCTGAGAAACCCCTCAGTCCCCCACAAACCCCTCAAGGCCCGTTCTCCTTGCAGCGGGATTAGAAGTGCAGAGCGACGTTGTGCTCACGGGCATCACCAGGACAGAGGGAGCCCTGTACCACCTGGAGCTGCGGGAGGCCACCCGTGCCCCTGCCACCCCCCTGGTCACCAAGCAGCTGATCCTGCGGCGCGGGCTGGCCGTGGCCGCGGCCGTGGCCTCGCTGGCCCTCGGCATCACCGTGAAGCTGCTCACCAGCATGGACTGACTCGCACCAAGGACTCCGGGGACTTGTTTTTGGGGTGAAAGCCTTTCCTGAGGGACAGGCGTAGCGAGCACGGACAAGCCAGGGAGAAGAGCGAGCGCACGCCTGTCCCGCAGGAGCCAAAGGGCCTCTGTCAGTGTTCAGCAGCGTTTGTGCAGAGTTTGGTTGGGAACGGGCCCCCAAAATGCTGCTCTGAGCTGCCTGGCACACAGTGAGTGTGTGGGGGACCCCCCAAGCCCACGCTGTCACCACCCACTGGGGCTGAGCTCAGCCCAGCTCCTCCTGCTGCTCCGTGACAAATGCCCAATAAAGAATAAACCCAGCTGGAGTGGGACTGGCTCCTTGGGGTGCAGGCTGAGGGCAGGGCTGGGGACACAACAGGGAACACCCACACATGGATCTCACCCTGCCCCAGGTGGCCTTTGCAGCAGAATAAAGGTTTTATTCAGCAAGGGTCAAGGGCAGCTCTCAGTTACAAATTTGGAGGTAAAAGACTATCCATAAACTAACAAACCCCTAAAATTCAGATACAGAGGAGGTGGCTGTGGCTGCTCTGCCACTCTGGCCAAGCATGCCCTAGACCTGGGACTCCAGTTGCAGCAGTGCCCCTGTCTTTGCCCCAGTAACCCCAAATACAGCAGCACAACAGTCCCTGGCACTTCTCAGGTCCTTGGGACAGCATGGCCACAGCTCAGGTGGATTTTGCCACACCTTGGATGGCTAAAGGTGGTTTCCCTGCAAGGAGCATCACCCATTTGGTGATGAGGCCCTTCGAGGATGAGATGCTGCAGGTTCTTCGAGGCTCCTTTCCTCTGCTCTGGGGACAACCAGCCCGGACTGTCCCCTGCAGTGAGACCCTCATTTCCCAGGCTTATCGCTGTGATGAGCAGCTTCCTCTGGGGATCAGGTGAGGTGTTACAGAGATAACAGGCTCAGTAACGACTGGCTTTGTTTAGATACCCTTGTGACAAACACTCCCACGTTCCCAGGAGTTTTTAGAGGAGCTACTGTTTACAAAGCAGGGTGGATGCTGTTTCCTTCCCTCTGCCACTCACTGCTCAGGCATGATCCACTGACTAGGTCTGGATAGATTCCTGTTTCAGCAGGAGCTGGAGCCTTTAACTTGGGGTGTCTCTGCTTTGGGTGCACTTTTTTTGTCTTCTACCTCTTCAGTGTATTGGCTACCTTGGAAGAAATGAAATTGCAGCAAGGAAAAGTTCAGCAGTAGGAGCAAGCAGTGGGTCCAAGGGCTGGCTGCCCATCACCCCTCTCAGTGGGGGCACAACACCTGGAAAGGCACAGAAACAGGGATGAGTCCTCCAGGGAGGGAGCAGAGCTCAGAGGAACGGGGTGGTGAAGGGTTAGGAGGGGCTCAGGGGACAGAGCAGGGGCAGCAGAGCCCCAGACTCACCTTTGCCACCACGGCTTTCACAGCGGCCAGCAGGGTCGAGATGAACCGTCCCACTCTGCTCCTGTTACACTGCTTCTGCAGGAACAGCTTGGCCAAATGCATCAGCTCCACACTGCCAGGTGGGTACCTCAGCCTGTTCACAACCTCCCACTTGAGGTCCTTGATGAGGCAGGCCCGGTGGTGGGAGAAGGTCTGGAAGCTGTGCCTGCCGTGGTAGGCGCCCATCCCGCTGTGGCCTGAGGGACACAGCCAGGCAGCTCACACCAGGCACACCTGAGCTTCCCAAACTCATTTGGCAGCCCCCAGGGCACAGGGAAAGCTTGGTCATGCTCCTTCTCAGGGCCAAGGAGCAGAGAGCAGCTTTTTTAACTTGGCAGAAATCAGCGAGGACCCGCCTTGAGCTGCTTGTGTGAACCCACCCTTAAAAAGTTAATGAGAGACACCAATTATCACCTCCCAGGGCCGGCCTTGCTTTTCCCACAGAATTTTCATAGGGGTTAGGGACAGGAGGAGCTGAGCCTATGATTTCAAGGAGTTGGACACGAGGAGGACACTTAGCAACACCCAAGACCTCAGCCCTGTCCCCACAGCCAGGTGACCTCTGCCACAGGAGCCTGACAGCAGCTGTGGAATCTCAACATGGACAAATTCACCCCACACCCCAGCACAGGAGAACCTTGTGTGAGCTAGGGGGTTTTCCTCCCTCACTGAGAGGCCTAACAACCAAAACACCAATGAGCCTTTTTACAAAGCAACCCGCCCCAGAAAATGGCACTAACGGGAAATGCAGCTGGCATTGCCAAACGGGCAGACAGCTCCTGGGTGGGGTCAGAGGCTGCTGCTGAGCCAGTGCAGGTGTGTGGGCTGGAGCAGGGACTCACCCACACCGCCGAAGGGCAGCTCTGGGAGCACGGAGTGCATGATGACATCGTTGGCTGTCATGCCACCGCTGGAGGTCTCTGCTATCACCCGTCTGATCAGCTACACACGGCGGCACAGACAAATCAGAGAGGCTGGGTGTGCTGGCCCAGAGATGTCCCTGTGCCCCGCTGCTGAGGCCCCATTGAGGGTGCAAGAACCTGACCTGCAGGCGACAGCCAGGTCACAGTCCTTGTCGATGTAGCAGGGGCTCTTCCCCCCCAGCTCCAGCGTGACAGGGGTCAGGTGCTTGGCAGCTGCTGCCATCACAATTTTGCCCACTGCAGTGTTGCCCGTGTAGAGGATGTGATCAAATCTCTGGGTCAGCAGCTCGGTTGTCTCAGGAACTCCTCCAGTGACCACAGTGTACAGATCCTGCAGGGCAGGGATGTCAGGGTCACCCCAACCCATCTCATCACTGTGGCACAGAGAAATGTGGGGACCAACCTGGGGCCACACTCACCTTGTCCAGGTACCGTGGCAGGAGCTCAGCCACCAGCCGAGCCGTGTTCTCGCTGACCTCCGACGGCTTCACCACCACGGCATTGCCTGCAGGGACACACAGCATGGACACTGAGCCCCAATCCCCTCCCCACACCCAGCCACCACCCCAGCAGGGCCCTGCAGGGTCCCCACCTGCTGCGATGGCCCCGATCAGGGGCTGCATCACCAGTGCAAAGGGGTAGTTCCAGGCCCCGATGACCAGCACCACGCCCAGGGGCTCGTAGCCGATGTAGGCCTCGTCCCTCAGGGTCAGCAGGTCCTTTTTGACAGGATGAGGGGCTGCCCAGGACGGCAGCTTCTCCATGGTGAGGGCCAGCTCACTCAGCACGCCCAGGATCTCTTGGGTGTAGGCATTGGGCCCACTCTGTAACAACAGGGAGTTTAGGGAAGGGATGGCAAAGGCACCCACCTCCCACAGCCACCATGGCACCCTGGGGAGTCAGAGTCATGCAATTCCGCGGTGGGGGACACGACAAAAACCATTTTTCACTGCAGAGGCAGCCCTTGGCCTTCCTGCTTTGCTCAGGGCCGACCACTGTCCCTGCACAGCAAAAGGGAGGGACCCCCTGACAACACACACCTTGTTCAGGTCGGCCTTGAGGGCTGCCATGATCTCCTTCTCCTTCTCCTTCACCATCCTCTCCAGGGCCTTCAGCTGCTGGATCCTGAACTCCAGCGGGCGGCTCCGGCCCGACCTGAAGGCGGCCCTGGCCCGCCCCACGATCTGCTGCATCTTCTCCATGGCTGCTCAGCGCTGAGGAGACACCGGCGGCCCCAGCTCAGCACAGGGCCATGGAGGGCTGCAGAACCCTGGGAACACCTCCATGAGTGTCCCACCCCGAGCATGGCTGGGGGATGTTGTCCTTCTTGAGGGGTTCCCACTCTCAAGCTGAGTGCTGAGGGCTCACAGCGCCCAAGCCCTGTTCCACCGGCACAGGGCACCTCTCAGAGCCATCTGGGGTTTGCTGATTGATAATCTTCTGAGGGTGCTTTCTCCAAGTCTCAAACCCACCAGCCACTCCACCCTCTGCTCACAGGGTGTTCCCAAGGAGCCAAAACACAGAGATGACCGTGGCCTGGGTGGGCAGCCAGCTGCATGCCCAGATCTGGCCTGCACCCATCTTCCCCATAACCCTGAGGCCCTCACATATCTTCACAGAAAAACAACAAAACTGCAGATATTTCACCCTGCTTCCCAGGAGCAGCATTTCACCCTTTAGTCAGGACCAGAGATCTGGTCCTTCTTCCCTGCCCAACCAACCAAGACACCAAGATCCCCTTACGACGATTAAATCCTGCCCTTCCCAACCCACTGCCACAGCTGCGTGACACAGCCTGAGAAAGCAAGTGACTCATTTAAAAACGAAGGAAAAAAAGCAAGTTACCTTCAGAGAAGCTTCTCTCTCCACCAGCCTCCTGTGGCGAGTGCAAGCAGGCACAAGCCCTTCCCCTGCCATGGCCAGGGGTGATCTCCTCCCACGGGAGAGCTGGCCCTGGCCCAGGGCTCTTGCTGGGTGTGAGATGCCCTTTACCCAACCCTGTCCTGGGCTGTGGTGCCCTGGCTGGCTGCTCCCAGCCAGGGCAGTGACTCAGCCCTGGCGTGGGATGGCAGAGACCACGTGGCTTTGCCCACGCTGGCCCACGTGCCACAGCTGCTGTCGGGATCTAAAAGACCCCAAGCAGGCAGGTGGCAGGAAATCCAGCATGGATCTGAGAGGGGGAAACAGCCAAGCTCCCTGCCTGCCTCCAGGAGCATTTTCAGTGCCCAACACAGGTGCCAGGGACACCTCACAACACCTGTGTGCCATTCAGCCAAGCCATGGCCAGAGCTGGGACCAGCAGAGCAGGATTCCTCAGGAGACTGCAAGGACTTACCACACTCGGTGTGTTATTTAAATTCTCAGTGTTTATTTAGTGGCTTGCAAAGTGTATCATCAAAAAGGCTTAGCACATGGATTTTCACCAGACATGAAGAAATCCCACTTATTGCACAGTAAATATAATTTTCTATTCTCTATTAATTGCATTTAGTAATAATTTTTCAGTTTAACATTAATAGTTCTAAGGCTCTTTCACCTTCAATTCCTTCAGCATCCTTCCCCCAAGCTAGAACAAGCCCCACATAGTGCCCCAGTGCAAGATTACAGAATTCTGAGAAGCTCAAACACGAAGGAGCACACACACCTTTCAGTAATTGTTTTCTCTTGGAGGAACCTGACCAGTAACACTTTGTACTGGCTTTGGCTGGGATTAAGTTAATTTTTGTGTTAAGTTTCTTCATAGAAGGATGGTGATGTTTTGGGTTTGTGACATTGGGAGTTCTGCTGTTTGTCTTCCCAAGTCACCACCAGGTGTGATGACACCCTGCTCTCCTGGGGATGGCTGAACACCTGCCTGATGAGGGGAATTAATGAACAAATTCCTTAATTTGCTTTGATCTGCCTGCAAGCCCAGTTTTCACTTCACCTATTAAACTATTTCTATCTCAACATACAAATTTTCTCACTTTCTTCCAATTCTCTTTCTCATCCCCCAGGGAAAAAGCAAGTGGCTGTGTGGGACTGGGCTAATCCACGAGGTATTTGTAATTTCTACTTCTCTGAACAGGCCTGGGAGTTCTTTTGCTCCAACATGAGACACTTATCAGCACAATACAGGCAGCACAGGCATCACCTTTGGAATTTTCTAACTGCTAAATAACTGTTAAAGGCACATGATGAAACACAGAACCCAGCAAGCAGCCCCTGACCAGCTGGGGATGATTCTGGATTGCAGAGATGTGAGAATGTTTCACCTCAATTAAATGGCAAGGGGAACGTCACTTGGGTTTGTTCACAGCCACCACTCTTGGCCAAATGCATCGGGCAGCACAGGCTTGTCACCAAGAGGTTGTGTGTTCAGAACATCCCCAAAACTGCAGGGAAAACACCATCAACCCAAGGATTGCTGAAACTTCAGCTCCTGTTGGTCAGTGAAGGAAGGTGAGTGGCTTGGTGCAGGACACTGTGTGTCCCTGGAAGCTCTGCATGGCACGGGGTGGAGGTAGGGACTGGAACTCCTTGCTCTGCAGTCCTTCTTCGGAGAGCTTGTCCCCACTGGTCCCTTTGTTCCAGCATGGCTTTTAAGTAAACAGGAATCTGAGCCTTCTCGTGGTTAGTGCCTCTCTAAGGCTACTCTGTGTGCTCGACAGCTCACTGAAATCACCCAGAACAAAAGAAAAGAATGACTTCCCAGCTTAAGGAAACAGACACAAAGCCAGCACCCAGAGTATGACGTGCACATGGTGCCTTCTCCTCTCTTCATCAGTTAACCACCTGTGAAAGCAAAACACAACACCAAGGTCCTGTGAAGGATCTGCTGAGACAAAACCAATTCCCCTTCTAGAAGAGCCTGAAGCAAAGCCCCTTCAGGCAGGAGGTTCCCCAGCGTGCAGCTCTCCTGCCCCTCAGCATGCACTGGTTATTTCAGATACCAGAGAAAACATCGTGCTCTGGCTCAGCCCCACATTCACTCATCTGTAAAACTTTTCCCAATCTCAAACTAGGTCTACACACAGGAGAAGAAAAAGGCTCCTACCTCACTGTGACAGCAACAGCAGTGCTCTGAAACCTGCTCCTCCTTACCACCCACTGGGCCAGCCCAGCCTCTGCACAGCCAGCACAACCAAGAGGGCTTTTCTCTTCAGCACAGACTGGTGGCTCTGAGAAACCCAAATGATTTCAAGATGCCGTGAGTTTCCCCCCTCATTGCCCTACACAGAGCCTGCCTCCCTGGCTGCTGCCTCGAGGCCTGAGCCAGTTCTTGGCTCTTAGATCTCCTCCTGGGTTATGTGAGCAGGTTGTTTCCCCTGGGATGTTGGGCTCCTGAGTGTCTCCTTGCAGCAGCAGCTACACAGACTGAAGGGCACAGTCCTGATCCAACCTGCCTCCTCCTGTGCCCTCAGGAGCTGCTCCCTCAAGCTCAGTAAAGCCCACTGAGCAGCCAGTGAAGGTACATGCAGTGACTGGTTTGTCAGACATGGACAACCAGCAGTGATCACACTCAGAGATTCAGATCTTGCTCCTCCACCTCAGGAGGCATCCTGAGCCTCCTGCAAGCCTCTGCCTCCTGCAGAGAGGAGAGGACATCCCACCCTTCCGCACTACCCTGCTGGAAACAAGGGAGGAAATGGGAATAATTGAGCTGAGGTCAGACAGGGGCTGCAATGGGCGAGGAGGAACAAGGGATTGTCACAGACCCTGGCTTTGGGACACAGCTTCCCTCCCCAGGGTGCCACGGCACAGACTGCAGCTCTCTGGGCTGTGAGGCAGCTCAAATGCTGCTGAAGGAAGCCCTGGAATGGAAACCATGCCTAACCTGCCCAAAACTACCAACCTCTGCCTCTGGAGGGAGCATCCCACGGGTGTCACCTACCAGGGAAGAGCAACAAGGAGTACAGCAGCCTGGAGATCTCTCCGGGGATATTCCTATTCTACAGAGAGCTTGCAAGAGTGAGAGGGTAAGAATTTAATGTGGGACAGATATTACAAATCTCAAGACAGAAAAAGAGGCCAGGCTTTACAAAAGGGCTGCAGTTGCAAAGAACAGATCAGGTAAATTGCACATAGACAGCAAAGACCCAAAACTCACCTTAATCATCACCGCTGCCACAACCCCCAGCAGGGCCAGGACAAAGAGCCCAATTCGGGCCTTGTTAAACCTCTTCAGGAGGAAGAACTTGGCCCAGTCCACCTTCTTCTGGCTGCCAGGTGGGTACCGCATTTTGTTGGTGCTCTCCATCTTGAGGTCCTTGATCAGGCAGGCGCGGCGGTGGGAGAAGGTCTCGAAGCTGTGCTTGCCGTGGTAGGCGCCCATCCCGCTGTGCCCTGAGGGACACAGCCAGGCAGCTCACTCCTCAGGCTCAGCCAGACTAAACTCTGCCCACCCGAGGACAACTGAGCCTTCCCCTGCAGCACTTCTCAGTCTCTGTGATGTCCATCTGTACTCAACCTTCTTCTTCCTCACCTCATTCACACCAGTCACTCTGATTGCAGCTAATGGTTTTAGTGCACCTTTTCCAGAAGGCTGCACTAAATGCTTCAGCCTTTCCAAAAATACACCCAAAGGTGTTTCCCTCCTGGCTCCTGTCCTACTGCACTCACAGAAATTATAATTAGTATCGAGATGTGCTGCACAGAGACTCTTGAGCTGTAGGAGGCTCAGGGATACCCAGACACAAACCATGAGTTGTTGTTCTCTGGGGCACAATGTGTACTAAGTCCCTACTCTTAAAGAGCTCCAGTAACTTACCAACACCACCAAAAGGCAAAGTTGACAGGAAGAAATGCATAATGACATCATTTCCAGTCACACCACCACTGGAGGTTTCTGAGATGACTCTCTTGATTAACTAGAAAAAAACACAAAACAAAATATTAAAAAGGGTGAAAGAAGAGACCAGACCATGTAACTAAGCATTCTGGGAAGGGAGGTACATTTCAACAATGTACAGCTGCTCTGGCACAGCCCAGACCCACCTGCTTGTTGTTGGAGAAGACATACAGAGCAAGAGGCTTCTCCCGAAGGTTGATGAACTCAATGGCTTCCTCCACGCTCTTCACAGTCACAATGGGCAGCACTGGTCCAAAGATTTCCTCCTCCATCACCTTTGACTCCGGGGAAACATCCGTGAGGATGGTTGGTGCTGAGGCAAATGGCAGAATGAGAGAACAGCATGAGCAGGACACAGACCTGGCCCAACACAGCCCAGGGAAGGCACAGACAAACAGACCCCACAAAGCACCCACCACCACCTCCCCTCCACAGCAGCTGCCAGGAGCACCTATGAAGCAGGAGGCCTCATCAGTCTCTCCCCCATGAGCAATTTTCTGCCCTTCCAGCAGGCTCTTGACCCTCTTGAAGTGACGCTGGTTGATGATCCTTTCATAATCTGGAGAAGACTTCACGTCCTCCCCATAGAATTCCTGACAAAGGGAACAGCAGAAACAAAAGTGCTCAGCACACCTTCCAACAGCCACAGCTCCTGGAAATGACAGCTGGGACAATGTCCACAGCACGAGGGACTCCCCCCTCACCTTCAGAGTGGCCTTGATGTTCTCCACCACCTTGCCCTGGATGGATGGGTCGCACAGGATGTAGTCTGGGGCGATGCAGGTTTGCCCACAGTTCATGTACTTGCCCCACGTGATCCGCCTGTGACAAGGCACAAAGGGACATGCTTGCCCCATGGTCAGTCCCTTCCTCACCCCTCAGCCCAGCTCCCCCCCCCTGAGCTGGGCATGCTGGCCCAGACATGTCCCTGTACCCCACTGCTGAGGCCCCACTGAGGGTGCAAGAATCTGACCTGCAGGCGACAGCCAGGTCACAGTCCTTGTCGATGTAGCAGGGGCTCTTCCCCCCAAGCTCCAGGGTGACAGGGGTCAGGTGCTTGGCAGCTGCTGCCATCACAATTTTGCCCACTGCAGTGTTGCCCGTGTAGAGGATGTGATCAAATCTCTGGGTCAGCAGCTCGGTTGTCTCAGGAACTCCTCCAGTGACCACAGGGTACAGATCCTGCAGGGCAA